TGTCATAGGACTTTCAACAGGCTGATTCTAATGCAATAATTTTGATGGTCATACTCTCTTGCTTCTCAGTTGAGACTCCTTTGACATCATAATTATTATATTAGAATCAGCCTGATAAATGTCTAATAATCGTAACTGGTCATACAGGAAAATAAACTAAACAGGAAGATAACGTCTTTTTATGTTAATATGTTTGAGGAAATAGTTACTAAAATAATTTGTCTTATTATTTAATTTAATGTAAATATCAAGTTCTTTTCTATATCAATATAATGTTAATGATTTGATTTAGGCTGTACAATGCTGGTCTTCAGCTGAAGGTGCAGGCATTATATCCACCCATTACATACCCAGTATCAAGAGGTACACCAAATATCTCATCATTAGTGGAATGGGACCATTCAGTTGAATGGAATAATGCTGACTACAGAAAGATTGTAAGAAAACTGGTCAAATTAAATCAGATTTTAAAATTATATTCTACCTTAGTCTTGTAAAAAATACAGGTGTTACATAGTGTAAGGTATCACTACTATTATTAAAATATTTATTTTTTTTTTATAATCTGCTGCACACAAAGTATAAATATTTTCAATTTTGGGTCAGGCCTTCATTTCCTTCTACATTTCCTCTGTTTGATGATCTTCCATATGCAGGTATTTGTTGATTTTTTATTATATTCAAATCAATAATCTTCCAGCTTTCGGAAAAGTATTATCTATCAAAGCAATTTATTGAAAATTACCAAAAGTTTCTCTTCATTGTAAGTGATAATATTCTTCAGGATCGTTGTGTCTACGGCCTAGACCAGTCATGCAGGATGACCAGTTTTTTCCTGTCCAAAGCAATAAAAAGGTTATGTATGGGGATCAAGTCCATACCATGCATACCATGGTGCGTTTCACAAAATCTTCCTATTTATTAATTTGTGACAGATTATCTCTGGGCTTGGTAGCTTCAAAGAAGTATTAGCTATGTTTTCTAGAATAGTTACCAGGGCATCTCTATGCTTGAGGGCTGCCACTCTTAATTTAGGGCTGACCGTCTTGTATACTCTTACTTTGAGAGATCTTGGTATATCACGATTTCATAAGATTTTTGTTAGGTACCAATCACACTTACTACCAGCTGTGATCCATATTGTTTATTTCTTCTCTTATTAACTTCAGTTATAATAATGCTAAGATACCTAAATTGTGGCACTCTTTCGAAATGATAACTAGCCCCCTCAATATATTTAGTGCCTTTCATCTCTCTCATTGTTAACATATATTTAGTTTTTGCTTTATTTATGGCAACTCCTGCTTTTTCGCAGTTTCTTAATATTCCTTGAAGGCTCCTAAGAGTGCATTGGGTGTCCTTCCAGTAATTACTACATCATCCGCAAACACTAGGTGTTGAGTCATTCTGTCATATATACATTCTCCTGATTTTGAGAGGATCAATCTCATGACTACTTCTAACAGCAAATTGAACAGTACTGGAAAAAGAGCGTCTCCATGGTTTATTTTTACTACAAATTTGCTGTCTTGCAGCATCGTCTTAAAAAGCCTCAAAAGCTTTCAACAGGCTCCCCAAAACTTTTCCCAAAAATTTCCGATACATTAAAAATAAAAATACTTTTTGGAATAATACATCAAGAAAATAAACTGTAGATGATGAAATATAAATTCCTTGAATTAATTATGCTGTTAGCATTAAGAATGGCATTTATGTTAGAAATATGTTTTGAATTATTATTATCTGTCCTACAATGATTATGTCATACTAGCTATGACTTCCTGGTTGTACCTATGTTAAATTATGTATTCCTATGGCTTACTCATGATGATTATTTGATCAAGTACATCTGATTAATTAATGCAATTCATAAAGTCTTAAATTTATAGAGAAAAAAATGTCAATTACTCATTAGTCCTAAGCCTGGTCATTGTGATTTACCTCCATTAGGCTGACGGGGCTCACATACCCATGGGAGGGAGATTCTCGGCAAGAGCAGATTTCCCTAGTGGTCAGTCATCCAAATCTGGCCATCACAGTACTAACCACGCTAGACGTTGTTTAAATTTGATTACATATTGCAAGCGGCTTAGCTCGCACAACTACTCCGGCCCATATATATAAATATAAAATGATGATTTTAATTTAGGGAAAAGCTATTGGGGAATCCATTTTTGAAGTGAACATTGGAGATAGTAAAGATGCTTACATCAGTGGCCATTGTATTGATGGAAGGGTTCTGTTTCCGGCTACAGGCTACCTTGTAAGTATCATTCATCTTGTTAATTTTTATTTTTATTAATTAAAACATACATAGAATATATTTATTTGTCCCTAGACTTTAGCATGGCAAACATATGCTAAACTGCATGACAAAGAATTTGAAAAAATGCCAGTAGTCATTGAGGACACCCAATTTCTCCGGGCAACAATTATGCCTAAAGATGGTAAATTTTTATTCTGTAATTCTATTCTAACTTAATTTTTGAAAAATTATTTATTAATTATTCCCTTTTAAATTGAACAAATTTCCATAAGAACCTTGATATGAAAATTAGACTCTTATTGATTTTATTTATTTTCTCGTGATTTATTTATATAATTAATGTTTCAGGTACTGTTAAGTTCCTTGTCAATATATTTGGTGGGTCTGGCGAATTTGAGATTTGTGAAAGTGGAGCTGTTGTGGTCAGAGGAAAAATAAAGGAGTCCACCGGATATGAGAAAGAATCCCTCTCTCTTGGATCTCTTTCAAAAATAGCCAAAGACAGCTTCGAACTACAGAAGAAAGATATTTACAAAGATCTCCGTCTCAGAGGCTATGAATACAAAGAAATTTTTACAGGAGTAATCAAAGCGGATGGCTCAGGTAAACCAACTCTCTTTCTGTAAAAAAATCTTAAGTAGTACAGCTATATTTGCTAGAATTTTTATCATCAGAAAATGAAATTGTGTTTGTGTTTACTTTTTAGGAAATACTGGGAAATTAGAATGGAGAAAAAATTGGATTGCTTTTATGGATACAATGTTGCAATTTACACTAATAAAAAATAAAAAATCAAGGGAGCTTTATATACCAACTAGATGCCAGAAAATCATCATTGATCCTATTGCTCATCTAGAATGTTTACAGGAAGCAGAATGTAAGAATCATTTATTAATAAAAATGAATAACATTCTCAGCTAATTGTTGGCTTCCTTCAAATTATAATCTTCTTTTCCTCCAGGTGTTTCAGTTATTTACGACTCGTATCTTGGAGTAGTCCAGTCAGGTGGGGTTGAGATTCGAGGAGTTAAAACAAGTCTTGCTCCTAGAAGACAACAGATACAGGCAACTCCATTAACTGAAAAATATATTTTTATTCCGTTGAATAACAATAAAGTAAGAGCACTTTTTAAACTCTCATTCCAACATTATTAAACATATTAGGATATGCCAAATAAAATACTAATTTCTTCTTAGGTAATGCTGCAAATAGAAGTAATCAGTTCTCAAATCCAATTAGCTGTTGAAAATTTCTCATTAAGTGAGAAAATAAAGATTGTGGAATATGTTGGAAAGCAAACTGTACCCATTATGCCATATGTTCAATCAGTGTTAGCAGCTTATCCAACATTACAGGTAAGAAAATTTAATTTTTTGCTCAAAAACATATAATCATTATGATTTGAGATTTTTTTCTAAAGACTTTCTTTCCATCAGGTTGACTTTTCTATTGCGACTACTGAAAATATAGACAAAAGTGCTCTTAGTGACATCAATATTATTAAAAAGGATTTGACGGAAGATCTTTTAGATGATAGTTACAATATTCTGATTGGTCATGAGCTCCTTTCCAATGGACAACTTCTCAACAATGCCTCTGAAAGTGTTGTTGAATCTGGATTTATTTTATCAGTTGAAGCTCACAAGTATAGTACAGCCGAGTTGCAAAAACTTGACGAATTTGTTTTGGTTTCTGAATCTAAAACTGAAGAACGCACTTATGTTTTGCTGAGAAGGGTATGTGAAACCTAATATTATATTGACTAGTTTTAGGTACGCAGTAAAAGAAATGACTCGCTACCTTTTTTGTCATAGTTTTTTATCATAGATTGAGTAAATCACTTTATAACTTGTAGGAGAAGGCCTCTTTACCAAGCCAAATAATTCCAATTCAGCAGACAAATTTTAAATGGATTGACCAACTTAAAAAAATCATGAAAGAATCGAAAGATCCCGAAGAAAGGATCCTTCTGGTGTCAGATGATGATCCTTTCTGTGGCCTCATTGGTTTTTTTAATTGCTTAAAAAGGGAAAAAGGAGGAGCTAAACTTAGGTACCTACTATAATAATACTTATTAGCTTTAATTATTTCTTTCTTTTAAGGTACAATACAAACACTCCAAATGAAACAATGGGACGGAGGGACTTGAGTGCTTGGAGTGAAGACAATTTCAAGTTCATTCCACTCCATTCATTGTTTCATTTTTTACTAACAGGAAGTGATCCATACTCCTAAAGGATATTTTCAAGACTATCCCAAACTCATAAATATCGAAATTTCTGGCATTAATAAGAAACATTATCTCTGAATATTATAAAAATTATATTAATATTCAGAAGGATAAAAGTCCATAATAGCATATCTGTAACTTTATAACAAATATTATTAATATATAAAATTTTTTCAACAATCAAAATTAGCAAATTAAAAACTTATTCAGTCAGAGAGAACAAATAAATAAAAATAAAAAACTTATTTTATTTTGTTTGACGTTTTGGCCCAGGTTACCTTCTTTGGGACTGAGAAAAGACAAGATAACAATAAAAAATTATTAAACAACTATTGTAATAGGATATGAAACAAACTATATGTTATTTGTTTATAAATCAATTTTAAGTAATGAATAGATATTAAAATAATGAGTATTATATGTAATAGTAAGAAATGAAAATATAAGTGAACTGTTAATGAAAAAAAAAAAAAAATAACTTGAACAAACTAATAGTAATAAAGTAATGATATAAACAGAGGAATAATTAATTAAATGATGAAGAAATGAAACCTAATGTTAAGTAATATAGATACCTCGGAGAAATAAGTAGTAAATATAATGAATAATATGTGATAATTGTTGTAAGATGATCAAATAATATGTTCAGTAGAAATAAAATAAACATAATATGGTGATGAATATAGAATAATAATGATAGAAAGTTGAGAATAAAATATCAAGTGTAAGAATTTCATAAACCATTAAATAAAAAATAATAAGATGTAATATCAATAGAAACACATCTTATTTTTTCACAGTGTTTCTTATTGGTTAATAATAATATAGTAAAAGCGGAGGAGATGGTAAAGATCTGGAAATGAGAAAAGGAAAGAAGGAATATGTGAATAAATAAATATGCTGAATTAAATATATACAAAAATCGATCTCCTACGCCCAATAGTTGTTTGAATTGAGTGACACGCGGTCTTATCACTATATAATAGCATATAGGCGATCTAAGTGCAATCTGTATCGGTTACAGCTAGAAGCTTCAACTAATTACTTTTGGGACAGATTTCATCTGATAAAGGATGAATCCAAATTTCACATAATCCCAGAGTTTGTTTTCCAAATTCTTGTTTCATTTTCCAACATAGTAAAATATTTCGAACTATTCCTAGTTTTGTAAAAAAAAATCAAGGTTAATCCTGATAATAAATACTTAATTGTATTATAAATCATAATATCATTAAATATTTATATTCTAAACTGCTATTAGTAGAGAAAAAAATATAAGCTACTTATATCAATATGTTCATAAAATATTTTGTACAATTTTATTACCATAATAACACCTAAAATTTATGAAGAATCCTGCAATTGTTCAACTTCATCAGTTTTCTACACTCATGGTTGGTAAAATTTATAATTTATTAGTCGAATTTTGTAGATTGATGGGGCTTATGTACACAATTTCAGTCCATTTTTGAAAATATTGGATTTAATTCTTACAGATGTGTCTTCACTTTTGGCAAAAAATTCTCAATGGCTCAGCACAAAGATCAAATTAAGAAAGATCTGTTTGTCAACGTCTTGAAAGATGGAGAATGGGGTTCATTCAGACACTTACCAGTTTACTCTGATGATCGCTCACTGGATGTTGAACATGCTTATGTCAATACACTCGTGCGTGGGGATTTGTCCAGTCTTCGGTGGATCGAAGGACCTCTATCATTCTACAAGTAAATAATCAGCATTTTTCTTAAAATCCTCTTTATGCTCTATTTATGCAAAAAAAAAATCATTTATACTATTTATTTTAGACCTGAAAATTATCCTGGAAAGGAACTTTGTACAGTTTATTATGCACCTTTGAACTTCCGAGATATTATGTTGGCCACTGGAAAACTTCCTCCTGATGCTCTTCCAGGAGATATGGCAAACCAGGTATTGAATATTTTTTTGTTTTGTTTTGTAGAATCAATTAATTATTTTTATAATGTATTGCTATAAGAATTAATGTATTTTGTACCAGGAATGTATCCTTGGGCTCGAATTTTCGGGAAGAGATTCAAAAGGAAATCGTGTGATGGGATGTATTGCAGCTTGCGGCTTAGCTACTTCTGTTGTGGCTGATCCAGATTTTATGTGGACTGTCCCTGCAAAATGGTCTTTAGAAGAGGCCTCTACAATCCCTGCTGTCTACGCTACTGTAAGAAAATCATTTGTTTTAAATCAAATTTCTTAGATTCAACAGATTTCCCTATATTCATATTACATGGTCTGATATGGAATTGAATGGGTAATGGGTAAATAGTTTTAAATGAACATCATTCATTATTTGGAAATAATTATTGGCTGTTTGGGACAACAAAACTTTTAATTAATTAATTAATATATTTGACATTCAGAGCTATTACGCCCTTGTTGTCCGTGGTCGCATGAAGAAAGGAGAAAGTGTCCTCATCCACGCTGGAACAGGTGGTGTAGGCCAAGCCGCCATCTCGATCGCTCTTCACATGGGCTGCACTGTATTTACAACTGTTGGTACACCTGAAAAACGAGAATTCATTCTCAAAAATTTTCCAAAAGTAACCGATTTTTATAATTTTATTATTTGTAAATAGGCATTAACTTTGTTTTATTCTTAATATATCTTATATTACAGGTGAAGCCATCTCATATTGGTAATTCGAGAGACACAAGTTTTGAACAGATGATATGAGAGAAACAGAATGTCGTGGTGTTGACTTGGTTTTGAACTCATTATCTGAAGAAAAGCTGCAAGCATCAGTGAGGTGCCTCGCAAGGCACGGTCGATTCCTTGAAATTGGAAAACTTGACCTTTCAAATAACTCTCCACTAGGTAATAAATATATAAAAGTATTTGATATTGTTTTAAATAGTTGTTGATAAGACCATCTTTAAACAATATTATTTATCCTGCTTAACATTTTCATGAATTTTATAGGTATGTCTCTGTTCTTGAAAAACACATCATTCCATGGAATCCTTCTAGATGCTTTATTTGATGCCTCTTCTGACAATCCCGAGAAGATGGAAGTAGCACGATTAGTCGTCGTGATGGAATTCAGATGGGTGCTGTCAGACCACTTCCAACCACAACCTTCAATCATACGCAGTTAGAACAGTCTTTCAGGTAAGACTTCATTTTCAATTTTAATCTTTTATCTTCTTTTAATCCTTCATTGAAGGTAGTACTGAATATTCCTTGGAGTCTCTTTCTCTCTGCAGCTGTCCATAGGTAGCTCTTGCTGTCCAATTCTCTGGCATTCGGGTTATGTGTCCGAACCATCTCAGGCAATTCTTCCAGTAACTCATCTATAGGTGTTATGTCGAGACTCACTCTGGTTCCTCACATGGTCACTTCTAGTCTTTCCTTTTATTTGCTTCTGGTACCTCATTTGCACTACTTTGTGTTCAATCTTGAAGTATTAAGATTCACTTACACATAGAAGTATCACAAGGAATGTTCTTTTACAGACTATCAAAAAGCCTTTCCTCAAGGAACTTAAACATTTCACCGCTAGTCTTATGTCCTGATGATATCCTTTGTCCTGATGTCCGCCAACCCATACTCATTTAGATGAGATCCAAAATATCTAAAATCACTTATCTATTGTAAATTACCACTATTTTAAGCCTTACTCTTCTGTCTTCATCGCTGTTTTGCTTTCCTATTCTCGTAAAGTTTGTTTTAGCTATGATTAACAAGATTGAATTTGTTATCTCGACAATTTTTCCTAATACTATCAGGGTCTTTTGTGAAGATTGTTTTATTTTTTATGTTTTTCAGAGTTGATTCCTTCTCTTTTTTCCTATCTTTTTAGGTACAAGACTGTTTCTTTCCCTTTTTTTTCATTGCTGGTTGTACTTAATATAATCTGCTTCAGAATGTGAACGAGGGTGTTCTTTCCAGAGAACTTGTTTAATTTCTCCCCCTTATTCATCTATCCCCTGCTTTTCCAAAACTATCTCTCAAAGTATTATTGTTCGTGTAATTAGATTTAAAAGGGCTTTAGGAATCACTTGAACACCATTTCATACAGGTAATTAGTTTCTTTCTTTTTTTCCAAAGTAATTATCATTATTTTAATGAAAAAAAGCTTTCATGCTGAAGCTCTCCTCAAAATTAAATCCTGGATCTGCTAGTGAGCATTTCTTTGACCCTTCTATTTCCAATTCATCAGAAATAATCTCAAGTGTAAGAGTTAGAGATACCAAAGTAAACAGCAAAACTACTTATTGATACTTTTTTATAGCCAATAAGTTTATCCCTAATAACAATTGCATTTTATATATTACACATGTTGTTAGTATTAAGAATCTTATTTTATAATTTTTATTACCTATTTCTATTGGTTTCTAGATACATGGCAACAGGCAAACACATTGGTAAAGTTGTCCTGAAAATAAGAGATGAAGAATCTGAGAAAATAATAAAGCATCCAAAACAATTATTGATCAGATCATTACCAAAACTCTACATGAACCCAGACAAATCTTACATACTTGTTGGTATGTCTTACTTCTGTGTAATTATCATTATCGTTTACCAAGTTGAAATTAATTAATAGCTCAACGTCTCTATGATACTTGTTGGTATGTCTTACTTCTGTGTAATTATCATTATCGTTTACCAAGTTGAAATTAATTAATAGCTCAACGTCTCTATGATGGTGACAAGGCATTAAGGTTTTCATTGTCTTATAAATAATACATCATATTGTAACATCTATCTTATATTTTACAAATAATAATAATATAACCTTGGAAGATCACTTTAATACTATTATGATACTTCCTAAATATATAAGAGGTTATTAAATAATAAACAAAAAATTATAACAGTATTAATATATTCAGGTGTGCGTTATTGACAGTCAGATCAAAACACCCAGACAAACTAAAATTAACTATACTTAACACTGCTTGATTTTAAAATAAAGTCAACTATGAATTGGCAAGCTAACTTTTTTTCTATAGATACTGTTTCTTCCTTTTTTGCACTAAATTCATTTGTCTTCAAATGATTTCCAATCTTCTGCCAAAACACAACTTCCAAAATAGTAATAATTTCTTCTACTCAACTCAAGCTCACAGGGAAATCCCCTCTCTTGTCATTCCAAACAACTAGTCTCTCTGCCAAACAACAACTTCCAAGATGGTATCACTATTACAAATGATTATCAAACACCAACTGCTTGCCAAAACAAATCCTTTGTTCCATCCTCTCTTTGTTTTCCTTTTTCCTTTTTGGAAAAGTTTATTTTCTTTTATTTATTTATTATTTTATTTATTATTTATTTATTCAGTTATTTTCTTTTCCCTGAATTAGTAGAACTAGATTAGCTTGCCTTTTAACTGTTGAACATTAATTTATTAAACCCTTTTTGCCTACTTCCAATAAAGATGTACATTATAATATATAGTATATGAGCATTGTAGATAAACATTAATAATTTATCCATTATTCCTTTCTAAGGTGGTCTTGGAGGTTTGGGATTAGAACTGACACATTGGATGATTTCAAGAGGAGCTAAGAAAATTATTCTAGTTTCTAGATCAGGAGTAACCAATGGCTACCAGAACACATGCATATGTCGCTGGAAGCTTTTAGGTGCAACTATTGTAATATCTACAACTAACATCACTGACATGAAGGGAGCTAAAAGTTTGATAGAAGAGGCGAACAAACTTGGCCCTGTTGGGGGAATATTCAATCTCGCAGCTGTGAGTTTTTATCTTTGTCATTGTTAAAAATGGAGATTGAGAAAAATAAAAAGTAATAATAAATAGATTCTCTATAATAGTTAGTTTTTTAAAAATCACAATTTATTTTCATGAATACATAAAAATATTTTGTCACTTTATACAAAATGATTTGTTATATAATTTATTGTTGTATAAAAATATCAGGAAAATCAATTTCACCTTTTTATTTTCTTCTATTTTTTATTACATCACACAACGTTTCAGACTGATTTGCTGTCTTCAAGTCTGTTTAAAATTTTTATTTCCCATTAAATCTTTTTATTTCATTCATCAATATACAAGAAATTACATTTAAGAAAATATCAAATAATATGCGTTAAAAAGCTATACTATTTTACAATTATTACTAGATATTTTTTTTTAAATTGTGCATAATTAAAAATTATTATTAATTTAGTGAGGGTTATTATAAACAAGTAAATGATCTGATAATGGGGAATTGCTTGTTTTCTTAATAAATTTATTAATGAGCAAGCTAGAAGCTAGAAGAAAAGCTAATGTTGGCAGAAAAACATATTGACAACTTATTGATTATACCCAAAAGTAATCATGAAATGAAATCACTAAAATTATTAAATAGAGCACAGAAAAACATCAGGTTCCCCATACAACCACCAATAACTAACAAATTACAATATCTAGCTATGAATGTTATTTTTGATAACAACAAAACAGAAACAGAATGGACAAAAAAGTATAATAGAGTTCTTTATTACCAACAGTAATTATTCCCAGCCATTCACCAATAAGGATTTTTGGCTAAAGCATAGCATAATTATTAATGACAAATTTGATTTCCATAAAATAGAAATAAAAAATATGAAATATTTGAATTTAATATATATTACAAAAAAAGTGTGAGAAGTAAAGCTCTGTCACTGTGGTCATATTTTCTGCTTATTTTTTATTGAAATAAAGATAAAAATATATCAGTGTTCCATTAATGCTAAACAGAGAAATAAAAGCATTGCAAATTATCACACAATGTTTTATTATTTTCAATAAGTTATAAATCAAATATGTTAGGCATCAAACAAAAAAAAAGCTTTATACATCACGTTACATTTATACATCAATAAATTACATTGTTGAAATAATTTTTTCCTGATATTTTTATGCAACAATAAATTCTGTGTGTTTCATTTTAGGTATTACGTGATGCCCTGTTCAAAAATCAGACAGAAGCAGATTTCGCTGCAGTTTGTAGGCCAAAGATCGATGCAACAATAAACCTTGATATTGCCAGTAGGTCATGCAATCAGCTTGACTACTTTGTCACATTTTCATCTGTTGCTTGTGGAAAGGGAAATCTTGGACAAACTAATTATGGTCTAGCAAACTCTGCAATGGAAAGGATTTGTGAAGAGAGCAAAGAAACGGTCTTCCAGGGGTAAAATTAAAGCTATTCAGTTGATTATTTGTTCTTAAAACTTAACTAAGAGTAATTGTTTATTTTATTTTTATGAAATCAAAAGCTGGCTATTCAGTGGGGGGCAATCGGTGATGTTGGTTTGATTATTGAAGCTCTTGGAGGTGATAATGAAACAGTTTTTGGAGGAACCTTACCACAAAGAATAAATTCTGTCCTGTCCACTTTTGAATTTTTCCTTCAACAACCATATCCTGTTCTGTCTTCAATGGTCATTGCTGAAAAGAAAGTGGCAATAGAAACAGGTTCTGTCAGTCTTGTTGACGCAGTTGCCAACATTCTTGGTATGAATTATTACTGTTGTCAATATTTTAAAATCATAATTAAGCAGGGGAACTGGTAAATTCAATATTGAATATTTATGCCAAAACCTCATACTATTTTCATTATATTCATATTTTTTTTTTTTTGTCTAGGGATCAAAGATTCACATAATATTTGTCTACTTCAACCAATTTGGGAGAACTGGGTATGGATTCTTTAATGGGTTCAGAAATTAAGCAAATACTTGAAAGGAACTATGATGTTGTTCTTAGTACTGGTGAAATTAGATTACTCACTTTTGGAAAACTTCAAGAACTTTCTGGTATCCAAACAACTACTGACAAATCAAATGTAGGGTTAAAAATGATTTCATATAACTATAATATAAAATTATGATAATGACATAATATTCTATGACACAATTAAGAATTTTTATATTGTATGTACTTTTTTAAGGAAAAAAACGTAAAAACAAAGCTGATGCCTACACAACATTGGTTTCAATGCCGTCTGCAACTCTTCCCAAGAGGCCGAAGCCTTTCTTTATTGTCCATCCGATTGAAGGAGTTGTTAGCCTCCTTGAAGAGTTTACTTCCAACTTACCATTCAATGTTTATGGTTTCCAATACACAAAAGATGTCCCTGATGATAGTATTCGGTCTCTCGCAGCATTCTATTTAGAGGTACACAGTGCTTACAAGTCTGTTGATTCTCCAGCCTTAATTATTACTAGATTAGGCATCATTTTAAAAATTATATATTTCATCATAACTGATTTTATTGTTTATTTTGTGCAGACTGTAAAGAATATTGAGATTCAAGATCCAGTTTTACTTAGTGGGTATTCTTTTGGAGCATTAATTGCTTTTGAAATGGCCTTGCTACTCGAATCTCAAGGCAAAACTGTGTATCTCTTTTTGATTGATGGTGCCCCTGATTTCTTAAAGCTATTTACTACAATGTACAGGTCTAAGAAGGGTGATGCTGATGAGTGTGATGCCTTCGCTTACTACATTACTCTAATTAAGAATGTTGATTACCTGGAATATAGTAAGGTAAGCTGTTATGAAAAAAATAAATTAAAATGGTGAAATAGTTGGAACATTAGAAAAAAATTAAAATATATTTCTATTAATACAGAGTTTATTAAAAAAAAAAATGCTATTTCAATAGAAATTCATGTTATGATTGACCACCAATTATTTGAAAATAAAAAAAAAATGATAAATTACAAATTTTCTTTATATACATAAATTCATTATTAATTTTAGCTCCAAGAAGAGTTCAAAGCCTTGCCTGACTTCAATTCTAGATTGGAACTGTGTGCTCAAAAACTGAAAGATTACAGTGAATCAGAAGAAGATTTGAAGGCTGCTATTGTAGCATTCTATAAAAAATTAATTGCCATTGATAGATATAAAGCATCTGCTATTTTTGAAGGAAAGGTTGTTCTCTTTAAGACTGAAGAAAGTTCTCTTGTTATTGAAAGTGATTATGGACTCAAAAAGGTAATTTAAGATATGAGCACATAGAGTTTTTACAATTTTTACTTATAAAAATAATAAACATGAATTTAAATAAATATTCTATCTTGTCCAGTCTGTGTGACTTATTCTGAAGATAATATTCAGCAATCAAACTTACTTTCTACAATGATCTACTACCACTATCATTTATAAGCTTCAAAATTGTAGGTTTTCAGAAAATAGTTACACCATTTGATCAAAAGACACTAATAATGAATCAAATTAGGACCTGAACATCCAAGTAGCTTAATATTGCAGGAATAGTGTACTTTTTTGTCCTATAAGATGTGTCTGGTGGGCATTTATTTCATGGTAGACTATTTCTGCATATAATTGGATGTGATGATGACAAAAATGTTTATGATTATTCTCAATGCAATTTTTTCATTGTGGGTAATAAATAAAAACACTTTGTTGAGGTTGAAAATTAATTTATTTTATAAAATTTTCAGTAATAAACTAAAATTATATTTAAAAATAAAAGTTTAGATAAAAACAATAAAATAATTGAATTTTTTTTTTAAACATAGAAGAAAACAATTATTTCAATTACATTACAAAATTGATGTACTGCAAAACAATAACTGTTAAGTCAGAATACTCTACTACACATGACATGCATTTATAAGTGCAATGCTCATTGCAAATTGGTTTAAAACAATCTTAAAACCTTTTTTGTTTTCATGTTTTTCTAAGATAGATATCCAGTTATTACAATTAATAGTTAATGTTGTACAAGATTTTTTTAAACAAGTTTTTATCATATGGGAATACACAACCTGTGATTATAAATAATGACTTCACAACACTTACCACTCACTTTGACAGATATTTGCGATCTTAATTATTTCTGTTGATTTCCTTATTGTGTGCTAAATCTCACATAGTAATTTGCAGATGGCAGATTTGTTTTGAAAGATAAAATTTCTTTGTATTATAATAATAACCATTTTCTTATCATTGTTATAAATCATAGAGTTTTCAGAGAAGATAAAATCAGTGGAAGGATAGTTTTGTATAAATTTTATTGTAAGATCAATCAGAATAATAGTCCTTTCATTCTTTCAGATCTGCAAACACAGCCCTGAGATTCATTCCTTTTCAACCACTCACCAGGACATCATCAAAGGCCAAGTCGCTAAGGAAATAGCTGACAAGATCATCAAGCTGTGAAATCATGATATACTACTTTCAAGTGTAAAAGAAAAGATCATTGAAATATTTGAAGAAAGAAAATTAATTGAACTAATTATGCTTACAAAGATCAGGCATAGATGCACAAGTTACAAAATTAATATGCTTAATGTCTGCTATTCTATTGTATAGGTAGTATATATCTAGATTAAGAAACTCCCAGTGTATTGTAGTCATGATAGAACTCTTATTATTATTAAGTGAAAAATCATAGAAACTTTTTTTTTTTTCATCATGTAAATACTATTAGATTGTATAGTTATGACATTAACATATTTTACAACATTATAATATTTTTTGAAGTATGTCTGTTTTACTAAAATCTACTTTGTTGTGATTTAATAAAATGTAATCAATACTTTCAACATTCTTCCTTGGATTTTTCATTTATACAACCATTTGTGAATGTTACATGTAAAACAACTTATTGGTCTGCTTAAGGTTGTGGAACCATATAAAATTTATTTTAATAACACATCTTTTTTTCATTAGCAAAGATTATTTGGAATAAAAAATTAGGTAGCAGGTTAAGAGGGATCTGGAATCACCCAAGTTTTATTTTGTAATTGAGCGAGAAAGGCGAAAAGGAAAAAAGAGAGAGGAAGAAAGAAAAATAAGTTTTATTCTGTGACATTTAGTCTCCTTAGAATAATTATAATGAACAAAAAGATGAAAATTGTCTGGCATTATAAAAAAACTTTTAGCTAACATAACATAATGATATACCTCATAATTAAAATAAATTAAGTATGAGTAAACATATTGTTTTGAATATAAATATAAATGAGTGTGTTCCCATATTTGTTCTGATTAAAAATATTGATGATATGTAATAACAGTAACATAACAGTCAAATGAGAGTGACAATTCTTTAATACCAATTTTATTCTTTCTTACTTGTATTTGTAAGATTGATTGCTAAGGAGGTGGGAGAATAAATGTTGTTTAAATGAGGTTAAGGAAGAGGATTTGCGTATTGAGATAGGTAGGTAATTCCAAAAAAATGTAGCTCAGATGATAAAGGATCTACTAAAGGAAAACGTTCTTTAAGAGGGAACAAATAGGTTTCCTGGGATCTCATGTTAAACGAATGAACAGAGAACAAGGAGTTGTAAATAACCATTAAGAGTTTAATTTTAAATATTCTTTTTTTGGTGGGAATAGTGAACATTCCTTCTGTTTTTATCCGGGGACTAGGTTATTTACACTCCTGAATAATAAACCAAACCCCGGTACTAGATATAGACTTTTGAGAATGTTTAACTGTTGTTGGGAATTCGGGAACCTAATACTTTTGTGACACTAAGTGACAAGAAATAATAAGAATTTATATATCTGAAATGTGGGACTTAATAAACACACTTCGAACGAATTGACTCATCTGGTTTGTTATCCTTCAATTGTGAGGCATATAGGACAACTAAATAAATAAATGACTTCTTACTTCTGTATAACAAAATAATTTATTTCTACAACTGTAATAAATTGACTCTATTAAAGTCATCAAGATATATCATATCATATCATATCAAGCCTATACTTCTCTTCTCAGGTAGTCTCAGGTAGTAGTATATGTTAATGTATGTCATAACGTCTCAGCCTCATTTATGATTTCTATTTTATCATAATCAAAAAAATGATAATTCATCATGATATTGTCTTGCTAAAGCTGTGACATTGATATTTTTCGGGTTTTTAATATTTATTTTATGTTGATTTATTCTATTTTGCAAATTAAGAAATGTTTCCCCAATGTAAAATTTATTTATGCATTATTTACAATTAATTTTATAAATTACATTTTGTTTATTCTGGCTTTTAATTTTATCCTTCATATTTGTTTAATTTATTATTATTATATAAACCAAATTTCATATTATTATGGTCATATTTTTTTTAATGTATGCTTAATTTTATTAGTTATTCCTGGCATACGTTTCAATTAAAAAAAAAAAAAAAGCAGCTCATTTTAATTATGTTTTGTGTCTTATTTTTGTCATTTTCTTCTTCACTATTATCCTTGTCATTTTCGATGGTTTTAAAAAAATCCGTTATTAAACCCCGTTTTTACTTTCACTTACGTATATATGTAATATATAGTAAGAGTAAATATTGAAAATTTTTGAATCTGAGTATTCAACGGAAATACATGTTTTAGGTCTCCTGAGTCCAAATAACCAAGTCCCACAAAATGGTGTGTGTGTGTGTGTGTGTGTATGTGTGTTTGTGTGTGTGTATGTGTGTGTTTTATCATTCTAGCTCAAAAACTTAAGTCCTATGAAAGTGAAATTGCATATTTAAGTTTTATATAAGCTTTCGATGTTGCAGCAACATTATCATCACAATTGGCAAAGCAGAAGTGGTACTTTATATAATTGATTTAACACATTTTTACGATTTTTTTTTTGTTTTTTTAGTTATTCCAATTTTTTTATTATTATAATTATGGTTTTTAAATATTTTTTTCATTAAGATATTTATTACTTTTATTTTTAGCATTATTATATATTTTTTTCGTATCCTTTTTTTTATTCTTGTATGTGATTTGACTGAGAAGCAAAATCCAAGTTTTCGACCTCTGTGCGACCCCTTCCCCCATTCCTTCCAGGTCACTTTTGAATGTCCCGAAACTGCTATCATTTCGCACTTTATTTTCGGCAATCGCTACAATTTAAGACAAAATCAGGCTCGGTAAATCAAATATTTTACGAGATACTGAATTTCCAATTTTGGAATATTATATTATAAGGTATTTTTCATGTTTGATCATTTGCAATTATCTTAAATTACTCATTTTATCTTCAATAAACTGTCTAATATGAGACAGTGAAGTAAACATTTATTCTTTTTAACATTTTAAAAGAGGGGTAATGGAGAGGGGGGAGGGAGGTTTGGTGGGAGAGAATAGTCAGTCAGTGGGACAGACCTCCTTCCCTTGCACCCCCTCTCCCCCATCACTATAAATTGTATATAGGTGTGTTCCATGTTGAAAAGAAGCCAGTGTACCCTCCCCAAAAATAGTGGAGGCACTTTCCCAAAATTGCCTCCAAACATGGCGGATCGACGACTTTGCTTGAGTTAGTTTTTCGGTCACTGAGACTCAGCAGTTTGGCTTAATTTCGTCACAATTGGTCTTTTATTAAAGATGACAGCCATAAAATCATAAAACATCAAAATTTAAAAAAAAACAATTGGCGTTGACAGTAAAAAATACCAGTAAAATCAATTTTTTCAAGTAGTTCAAATTAAGCGTCATTTGAAATAAAACTACTAACAATAACGAAAAACCTCTTGAAACAAATCATCTAAAGAATATATTCCTATTTATAAATCACTGACTAATTTGAAAAGGTTCATTAGAAAAAGTACATAATCGGCAGAAAAACGGCACTCGTGTAGGCGCCTACAGTCTTTTGCCACCTCATTCAGTCCTCATGAATGAAATGGTTATAATGCTACTCTCTTTATCTGTCTATTACTTATCTATTTCACCAAATAATGTTTTCATCAGTTTTTTTTAAATATATTTTTAAAGCTTTTGAATCTTTTTTACTGTGATCGCTGAATTTCCTTTTTCTAACAGTTTTTTCTTCTTTTTTATATATTTACATCTTTTGCTATGACTTTTCCTCATAACACTCCTCTCTGAAATTAAATTTCTGAGTCAAGGAGAGTTTTGAAATTTGTGGTAAGCGCTTTTTTTTTGCCCGCTGTTTTAATAAGAAAAAGATCGAACGTAATAAATGGCTCAGGTCAATCTAGCTTACTTATTTTATCAATTAGTTTATAATATTAGGTTCACATAAATCAACATAGAGTTTCTATCTATCATTATTTATAGCCATTGCAATACCCATGTATTCTACTCCTTCAAAATAGTAAATTAAATAGATGTTTATTTCACTAACATTTATAAGGCAGGGTACTGAAGAAATAAACATGAAAATTCGCTTAACATTTTCAAGTTTCGAAAATCTTCACTTCATTCACAATTATTGTATGCACTTTATGTAAATAATTTTTTTATTTCAATTTCATTCTTCTGGTAGTGGAAAGTGATCTCCCTCTCTCCCAAACCTCCTCCACCCCCTAACTTATCTCTCCTTCAAAATGTTAAAATGAATAAAAATTCACTACACTGAATCATATAAGACAAGTTATTGAAGGTATAAAGACAATTGCGTATGATCAAACATGAAAAATAGCTTACAATTTTTAAGTTCGAAAAATTTCAAAAAGTTTGTAAACCTGTATCTCGAAAACTCCTAAACTTGACGAACCTGTTTTGGTCTTAAATTGTAGCATATTTAATCTAGTGTAAAAATGCACTAGCGGATCCAGGATTTAATTTTGGGGGGGGGGGCTTCAGCCCGAAACCTTTTTTTTTTCATAAAAATAACGATAATTACTTTGGAAAAACAGAAAGAAAATTACTACCTATATGAAATGGTGTTTAACTTATTCCTTAAGTACTTTTAAATGTAATTACACGAATAATAATACTTTAAGAGGTATTTTTAAATATTTTTTTTCCATAAAACATGGTTATATTTTTCCATTTTGGGGGGGGGCTTCAGCCCGAAAGCCCCCCCCCCCGTAGATCCGCCCGTGTAAAAATGTATAGAATGATTGTTGTCGAAAACGTGCTCCTTCATGGTGAAAATGAGAAAAATTGTGAAAAAAAACATGTTTTTTTAATTTTCAAAAGTGATCCGGGTGTGCGCCGAGGTCGAAAACTTTGGTTTTGCATCTCAGTCAGATCCCATACAAGAAAAAAAATAAACCCTCCTTCCCCATTTGATGCAACTTAGACCGCGCTTTTAATGATTAGGCTGCAGGGCTAATTACAGAGAGGATGAGATGCTAAACAATTCCCTCGCTTACAGTGAGCAGGTCCGACTTTTAGTTTCTCTCAAATATCTCAAAAAAATTAAAGGAAAGTTTTTCTCTATTGGAGGTCTAATACTATGGATTTTTTAAATTGGCCGTCTAATAATTTTATATTTATAGCCAATATGTCCTGAAATGAGGACGTGATGGCTGAGTATGTTGGGATGTGGGTTCTTGAGAGCCTGCTTTTGAACACAGGGCAGTAATCTCGTATATCATAAGTTGCATTGATTGGAAGTAGAAGGGTTCTTTTTCTTTTCTTTTGTGGTATAAAACTGATGTGTAAAATACAAGTTTTCGGCCTCGACGTTTTTATTTTAACATTTTGAAGGAGGGGCGAGAGAGTGGGGAAGGTTTGGTGAGAGAGGAAAGTACGTGGGCCAGACCCCCCTCCCGTACATCCGCCCTCTCCCCCACATCACTATATATTGCATATAATTGTGTTCCTCGTAACTATATATTAAAAAAGCCATTGTACCCCTCCCCCAAAAAATGGCATAGTTATAGTGCTATAATAACGTTTTTTGTACATTATTTTGATTATATTAATGAACAAATTCGTTTTTCATATGCCGAAGTCGTTGGGCATTTGGCCATCCGACATTTTGTTTCCAACATTAAACCAGACCATAAATTAGATTTTTTCATACATTGATTTAAAAATGTCTTACTTATATCCGTCAAGGCAGAACATTTCTAGGTGGTCAGCGTCCAGTCTCCCTTGATGACGTAATTTACACCTAGGATCTTCAGCCAAGCTTATCATGTGGAGATGGCACTGCAGATAGTCGTGGCCATTCGCCAGGTGGAAGCAGCCTACTGCATCTCTTCTTGGTAGGTCAGATGGGATCGGGTTATGAACATCAACGTTAAACGTTATGTAACATTCTAAACGTTTCCCTTCCAACTTGTCCCTTTTCTTATTTCTTCCTGCACCATCCTTACCATAGGCCGTATTGAATAGTAATGTTTTTGATGGATCGGCAGCTTTAAAATCAACATATACTGCAAGGATATGTTGTTTGAGTCGAAATCCATCTTTTACATTCTCACTAAAACGAGCCACCTACTGAGTTGTACATCGGTTCTTCCAAAGCTTTGGTGACTTTTTATTTCCCTATCAAAATATATCTGTAACCGGGCTAAGACCATTTACTCATAGAGCTTAGAAAAGACACTTGTGATCGAAATAAGTCAGTAGTTAGCTGGGCAAGAAGAACATTTCTTGTGTTGCCATGATGTGAGAATTGGGACCACATCAACCTTCCTCCAAGCACTAGAATATCGCGACCTCCACATACTATTGAGAAAATCTAGCACAGTGAGCTTAGCTTTTGCATCCAGGTGAATAAGGAACTCTGGTAAATGTCATTAGGGCCACCGCTTATTCCCTTCTTTGTTTGTGCCAGAGCAAGTTCAAGCTCTTGAAGTCGTCTTCAAATAGTTGACTTTTAGAGGAATTCAGACATAGGATTGGTGGCGTGGTATTAATTTTCATATTTCCTTCTGCTGGTTTATAATTAGAGGCCCTGGCAAAAGAACTTGCAAAATCTCCTTGCTACGGTAAGTCCAGAATATATCTGCTTGTTAAATTAAGAGCCCGTTCCTTGGACCTTTTCCACCATTTAGCTTTGAGATGAATATATGTGCCGTAGACTAGCCAAATACTCTCAGAAAGCTTTTCGTTTGGCTTGAATTAGATTCCAATTTATGGTTTCTGTAAATTGTCTAAGCTAAGACAATTTACAGTGAAGCTACGCAATATTTTCCGAACTTTTTGACATTTCAGCATCTTTTCTAGCTGCATCCCTATTTTCTATTAGTTTCTTTAGATTGTCACTACAGAACGGGGAATATCTTTTCATTAATCTCTTCCATCAAGGACGTACTGGTACTGTTACTTGTGGAGGAACTAGTCCAGCAAGTGTTCCTTTTAACCATCTCCTGAAGTTTTTTTTACTAAGATCTATATTATAGAAATGGATCCGTATTTATAAGTGCCGAAATAAATGTTTCTAATCCTAAAATGAACGTTTAAAATAAAGAAACCTGCTTATTGGTGCGATTATTTTCACGAAAAGATAAATA